AAGCTTTAAACATCTCCGGTTCCTACTTTCTGATTATTCGGGGACAGGGGTGGGTGGGAGGGAATAGGGATCCATGATCCATTGCCTCTGCGTTTCTGTTGTCCTTTCTTTTCCACAACACCCTGGTATGGGGAGGGAGGCGGGAGCATTTGTGGGCAGGGGGTTCTGTCCTTCCAGGAGGGTCCTCAACACTTTGTTTCCGGTCACCCAGTGGGGGGAAGGGAGGAAGAAGGGGCGCAGCTCGCCGGCGCGGAAATTTGACCTTGTGGGGGGACACTTCATGGCCATCTAGTGCTCGGAATTACAGCGTCCAGCCATTTCCAGCAAGAGCGCTTCCCATTCCCTAGACATTTCAGCCTTGCAGCCAGAAAGGCTGACCGAGAAATCCATTGTGGGTGGGCGATTTCCTTCGGGGCGAAGCCGCAGCAGCGGGCCGGTTTGCCTGCCGGTTTTCAGGAATTCAAATTCATCTTGTGCAATTTATCAGGTTGTGGAACTGTCCTACTGTGCGTGTGGTGTGCTTGTGGTGAATAAGATGAAATGTATATCAGAAAAAAAAATCTATCTCTAATTTAGAGTGCGGTGCATAATAATATCCGCAAATAAAGAAGAAACAAAGGTGTGCGGGGCTCCGTCTCCAGTCAGTTCTGGGAGTTTGAAGCATCAGGGTGGGGGGGCACTCGGGGGGATGAAGCAGGACAGAGCGGAGGAGCAGCAGTGAAAAGATCCTAGGAGGGTTGGGGGAGCTCAGGTGGGGTTCGCATGTAGAGGAGGCTTTCTAGGTGTTTCAGGGAGGAAGTAAAAAACAGCGGCGGCCCCTCAGCCACCAAGACAGTTAGCTGGGGATCTCTCCCCTGGCCTGTCTGAGAATTTGGTGGAAACTCTCAGCCTCCAGTCCTTTAAAGGGGAGAGGGGATGAGAGTGTGCTTGTTTGGACAAAAACCCTACACGTTTATGCAACAAATATTTACAGACAATCCACTAGGGCTGGGGCTTAGGGGCCAGAAGGAACAAACACGACTCAGTCCTTCCCCAGGTGGGGAATACATTCCTATAGCAGGGAGCCAGACAATAAACCAGAGGAGCAGAAACCCACCACAAAGCTTCAGGCTGTGAGGAAAGCTGCAAAGGAGCACCTGTGTATTTCCCAGGACCCCAGGGCCAGATGCCAACCCAGCCTTGCAGGCACCTGGAAGCAGGAGTGCCTCTCTTTAAGTCAAAGCAGGGGTTTTCACAGCCATGCAGAAATCCAGCCATTTAGGATCAACGACCCCAACCATTTGAGTCTTCACATCCCCTTATCTTGTGCAGCCTGTCTGAGAATGTGTTTGCTGGAATCACCCGGAGGGATCCAGAGTGTGTGTGTGTGTGTGTGTGTGTGTGTGTGTGTGTGTAGATCACACACACAGTCAGCACCTGCAGTGCCTGTGAGGGATTATTAGAAGGGGCCCACTGTCAGACTTCCCTGATGGGAGTTGGGAGTGCAGGACAGCTGGGCTGTTCTGGGGTCCTCTCTGGATGCAAGATTAAAAACCTTCCCAGAGACTTTCCTCCAGATGTGATTGCTGTATGAGAAAGAACCTAGAGAGTGCCTGAACAAGGTATATGTTTTCTCACTGGATGTGGAAGGTGCCGTATCTTTGTCTTGTGCAAAGCTTGGTACATATTTACCTGTGGCCATACTCCAGGATGTACCTGTGACACGGGTGACTTTGCATCACTGATTCTGCCACCACTGAATGGGAGTGGGAGAGGTAGGAGGATAGGATCTGGTTCCCTCTGCAACTGTTTAAACAGGCCATTTGAGATGACTACTACCATTTTCTGCCCGCTTTGTGGCAAAAAAAAAAAAAAAAAGAATAGTGAAGTCAGAGAAAGGTATGAGATCAGTTGGCAGTGTAAGTTACCAAAAAAAAAAAAAAAAGTCCTCGGCAAATGTTTTGAGTAACAGCAAAATTTAAAGTTAGAGAGGAATCAAGATTGATAAAATATAGGCTGAGAGAAGAAAATGATGTCCAAGAATTGAGGATAAAGGACAGATTTCAAGAAGAAGGGAGTGATACACTTCTTTTTCTTTCTTTTTTTTTTTTGTACTGGGGATCAAACTCAGGTCTTTGCACTTGTGAGGCAGGTGGTGGCACCACTGGACTGAATCCCAGCCCTTTTTTGTTGTTGTTGTTGTTTGTGTTGTTTGTTTTTTTCTCACTCCAAAGGAATGGCATGTTGACTGGGACCAGGCATGGCAATGTAGGCACCCTCTGTCCCTAAATCTTGAAGTGGGAGAAAAGTGTGGTAGCTTGTCAAAGAAGAGTGAGACTGAGAGACAATTCTAAAGGTGCCTTGACTCAGAAAAGGGTGTGTGAAGGAGGGGGGACAAAGAATACATAGGACTCAAGCAGACAAAGGAAGTGGTAGAGGTAATACCAAGAACAAACATGGGCACTGAAAGGGGACATGCTTTTTTTTTCATTTTTGGTACCCAGGAATGAACCCAGGACATTGCAATTTCAAGGCATGGTGCCACCTGAGCTAAATCCCCAGGACAGGACAGGCTGCTTTGGGTTAGGTTTCCTTTGCAATGGATCAGACTCTAGATTCACATAATTATATGTGAAGGAAGAGGTTCCCGTACAACTGGTCCTGGGAAGCACAGTAACACTGGGAGAAGAAAGACAGGGAAGAAAAAGGAAAAAGCCAATTCAAAGAATTGTACAGGCAGGCTGGCTCCTGTGTGTGATCATGCTTCATCCACCTGAGGCCTCATGAAGGTTTTAGATTAGCCATGTCTGAGGGGAAGGAAGCTAAGGCATTTATTCTTTAACTGCCTCCTGTTGTCAAAGCAGAGCTCTCACTGGGTGTTAACTACTCACATGTCCAGTCCATGGTGTCCCAGAATGCCCTTGCAGCCCGAGGAAGCACTTGGACAGCTGCAGGGACTTTGCAGTAAGAAGCCAATGGGTTGCTGTGCATGAGAGCTGTGGGTGTCTAGGGGATTATGTGCAGGGCTTCAGTGACATCTGCTACAGAGACCTTGTGATAGGTCTTGGAGAACCAAGTAATAACAGTGCCATTTGGCCCAAGCCTCAAGCTCAAGAGGCTCCCAATGTTAGCTGAGAGTCAAGGGGACTCTCAACAAAATTGTTGTTCTTAATTGAACCCTGTTCTCCCCAGGGAGAGAGGCCCCTAAATCTAGGGGTGGGAGGACAGACATAAGATGAAGGACCTCAGAATCTCAAGGCTGCTTGGGCCTTTGGGACAGTCTTGAAGGTGCTGCTGATCTCTCAGACTCTACCACTTATTTCTGTCTGTGGAGCTTTATAGAATGAATGCCCTGTCCCTGTCTATTGTCCCCCAACTGGCAGTGTGGCCACTAGTACTCAGAGCGCAGAAGGCAGTAAGGAGCCTCCTGGAAGAGGAATGAAATAGGGAAGGCTTGGGGTGGGAAACTCTAAAATCGGTGTGGTACCTGATACTCAACAGTTTGTTTGTTTGTTTGTTTTGGTACTGGGGATTGAACTAAACAGCACTTTTAATTTAGAAAATGGAGTTAGGGCTGGCACTAGGAAGAGGACTTCCTTGAATAAAATCATAAAGCTGTTCGGAAAAAAATCTTAGTAACACGTTGAGTGCCAAGTGATACTACCTGGGGCTCTTCCTTTCAAGTCAAATATAAAGCGGGGAGGAAAGCATCCCATCCCTGTCTGCAAGGATATCTGAGAAGTTCTGGGACCTTGAAGTTGTGATGCATTCTTGGAAAACTTCAATGAGAGATGAATAAGGGGCCTCAAGGTTCAAGGAGAAGAGTAGTTTGTAAACACATGTAGGAGGTCCCCTGGGTATTTCTAGGAAAACCAGGGGCCTTTTGCAGGAAAAGGAAAGCCTGAGTGCCCGTGGGAGCTCCTGAGTAATCAAACAGAAGCAAGAGTCAGGGATATTTGAATTGAATGAGGCCAGGCCAGCTTGCAGCTGTACTCATAACTGTAAAAGCAATGGGTGATCTTCATTGAAAGTGTTAGACATGGAAAATAACCAAAGTATGGAATAAAGCACACTATCAGCAGTACTATAGAATAGGGAACCTGGAAGGCACTTCAGCTACTATTATCTAAAAATGATAGCACAAACATGACATCCCTTTAAATACAAAGTTAAGCTTACAGAAAAAAAAAAAAGCAGGAAAAGAAAAGCTTAGATGCGTCAAAGAGGGAACCAAACCCCAGACTGATAATCACAGGAGCATTTGCTAAGGTTGGGTTATTGTCATCAGTAACTTGGAAATTTAGTTTTAATATCTGAAAGTCAAGAAAGCCAGGAGTGGTGGCACAGTCCCGTGATCCCAGAACTCTGGGAGGCTAAAGGTAGGAGGATCTCAAGTTTGAGGCCAACCTTGGCAACCTAGTGATACCCTGTCTCAAAATTTTAAAAGGGGGTGTGGGGGGCTATAGTTTAGCATGAAGGTCTTGGGTTCAATCCCTAGTAACACACACACACACACACACACACACACACACACACACACATACACACACAGGTTTAGGCACTGGGACATGAAGAGTCAGAACCATGCCTCAGATATAGCCAAGACCTCCCAGTGACATTTCCTTTACCGAAAGAGTGACTGAAACTTTCTATGGTACAGGAAGGTGACTGAGATGTTTGCCACTCTGTGTCTGAGTCTTTCATGGGAAAGAACAGTTCCCAAGAGAATCAAGTTCCCAAGAGTAATCATCATCCTATACCTCACAGGAGCTTAAAATTCAAATTTATCTTCCTGCTCTAGAAATGCCTAGCCAGGAAATGAATATAAAATATAAGTTTCCTGCTGATGTACTTCTAGATCATCTGAAAGAAGCATGTGCACTAATTCTTTCATGGCACATGTCCTCAATCTAACTTATAAGGGGGT